AGTGTGGTGACCAAAACTGGATGCAGTATTCTAGGTGTGGTCTTACTAAGGCTTTATAGCGGGGTGTTAGTACCTCTTGATTGACTCCCCTGGTTCTTCTCTTCACTAGACTAGCCATGCCCATATAATTGTAACGAGCCAATGACTTTGGCTCAATAGATTATTTCTTCCTATTGACAACATTTTTTTAAAGTTCTGGGAAACATTTTGGGGGCATCGGTTACTGAAATCTTGTTAATGAAAATTGCCAGTGGCAGAACCTGGATCCTTTCACGTGCAAAAAATGTAGCCTGCCATTAGGTTGATATTCTTATCTTTCAACAATCAAGTGGATTGATTGATTTGCCCCTTGACAAAAGGCCATCACTGGTCAAATATGGAAATTGTTTTTTGAGAAGCGCATGGCTTCATGGTTTTCTCACCCTAACATTATTTTGAGGGAAAGCTGCTCAGAAACAGTAACTGTTCTATTATTTGGCCTGTTTCCTTGTATTATTTGGTAGATAGCCATTTGTCTGAAACGGTATAGGGTTTCCTGCCTAGGCACAGAGTTGGACTAGAAGACCTCCAATGTGCCTTCCAACTCTGCTACTGTATTGTATTGAAATGTATGGTATATCAGGAAGACTATGTTAAAATTCCATTTTTGGAATTGGTATCTCAATCCATAAATCCCAATTCATAAAACAGTAACAGGGTTTGAGTAAGATATTTCATGTATACATGGACAATTATGAATTAAGGCTAGCTATAGAGGTGCTCAAGGACTGAATAAGCTTCAGAGGAGATGGAGGAGAGTTTGAGAAACAGAGATTAAAGATGTGCTCAGCTATAATATTTCTAGAAAAAATTCTTTGAAAGGTTATTCCATAGCTTCTGAAATACTGAATTTTTAAAAATCCCTATTAAGTATTTGTCTAGTCTACTTTGGATAAATACTGACATTGTAGAATGGTGGGGGTAAGGAGAATTGAATCAATTCCAGTCTGGGAATTGAAGTCCACAAGTCTTCAAGTGGCCAAGGTTGAAGACCCCTGTACCTAGGCAATGGTGATGTCACTGACAAATCCTTTTAACACAGAAGCACTTTGGAGCTTTCAAATTGGGAATATTAATTATCTGTTCCATTGTTCTGATACTAATATCTAGCTGACTGCTTTGTAATTCCTCTGGTCCTCTTTTTCCTCCTTTTTGAAGCTAGGAACTGCGTTTCCCTTCTCCAGTCCTCTAGCAATGTGTGTGTCCTTCATGATTTCTCAGAGAGCACAGAAATGTGCTCCAAAAAGACACTGCCAAGTTTTCTTCAAGCATTTCATATATAACTGATCTGGTCTTGGACACTTAAACATATTCATAGTAGCTTCTTTACTTACCTCGTATTGCCTCTTCCCACCTTTAGTTGTTCTACTTAAC